ACCGGTAGCATTACGCCATGAACTCTGCTTCTGATAACAGTAAGTGTCTCAGGGTCCATAGGGTGCAACAGAAGGAAGGTATTAAAGCGTTCAGTCCAGAGGTGTGATAGACTATTTCTTCCCTCAGCTTCTGCATGGACTAATCTGAGGACAAATATATACACTCTCCACAGACACCAAGAGAGTAGCTTCAGCCAACGGGAACTAGATTACATGGATTATCTCTCTGATATATGCACCACTACGTGTTATTTCCAGCTTGACCAAAATCAGTGCTGTCAGAATCCCCTTAAATCATAAATACAATTGTATCATTCTTTATTTATTTGCCCGTGTGTTAGATGAAAATTGGTTGGTGATGACTGCTGCTTCAGGTCATGGATAAGGAGAATAAAAAGTTTAATGCTAATATGAAGTAGGCCAAATTAACTGTTTAATAGCTTACTTTATTTTTTATTAGTTTAATTTATTAGTTTAGTTTAGTTACGTATTTATTGTTCTAGAAAAGTTCTTGAAACCTATGAAGTGCTCCATCTTTTCCTTACTGGAATAAAAATTATGTGATAACTCTAAGTCTCCCACAAGCATTCCCAAATATTTAGTTTGTGTTTCTGTCTACAATATTTTAAGAAATAGTCTTAGAAGATTATGTTATATATATATATATATTTTTTTGTATATATATATACATATATATATATATATATATATTTATATATATATGTAAATATATATATATATTTATATATATATATTTTTTATATATATATATATAAATATATATATATTTTTGTTATATATATATATATATTTTTTTTTTTTTTTTCAGTTAGAGAACAGAATCTTTATCCAACTTGCAGAGGAAAGAGTCACTTTTCCCAAGTGGAGTCCTCTACATTCCCGTGATCCTTACACAAACAAATCTGCCAAGTCCTTGCTATGCTCATGCTAGCCCTTGCAAAGAAAAGGGCTGCAATGGAATCCCTCCATATGTTCTAGAGAAAAAGCAATGAATCATAGTGGAAAACACGGGCTAAAGCAAGTCATCTTTCACATTAAATGCTACCATATACAGCATCTCAATTAGTTGGTATTGATACTATAATTTTGTGTGTTGGTGACTGCACATGCAATACATAACAGCAAATTACTGCAGTCAGCAACTGTTGAATAAGTGTTTCTTATTCATTAGCTACTCTTTGATCTAAAAATGGTATTTGCCTATTAACAGCTAAGTACCATAAATGCACATTAATTTAAGTGACATGGGAGACTAGCTTACATAACACAAGAAAAAATAAGGAGAGCGAAAAAGAGCAGCAGTGAGTAAGCATGTACTCAATGGCAGTCTCCCCTTTAAGTTCTTTCCTTTTCTTGTTTGCTGCCTGTAAATACCGCAGTGGTTGCTGCTGCTGGGGAGAGCTCGACACTGCAGTGACAATTCTTCAGCCCCCTGAGGTGTCCCAGACAGTGGCGAGCACTGCAGACTGTGTCCCTTTCCCAGCTCTGCTCACCTCCAAATGTGCTGCTGGCGCTGGACAGGCTGCCTTTTGTAGTGGTGTGCCCAGGGGTTACGCCCCTGCACTTAGATATCCTGATCTGATACTCTGCTCCTGACACTTGTTTTTGCCAAGGTTGCCTTCCTGTGCAACATCAGTGAGCATCATGCTCTCATAACTGTGTAACTGCCAGGATTTTCTCTGGATGAGAGTGTGATGGTAATGTCAGAAACACCAGTAGAGAAACCAGAGCCAGATAATAGCAGAGATAATCTTAAACAAAGCTAAAGTATTCATCAGCTGCTTGATGTATATACTAATTAATAATTTTACTGTTACTGTGCGTAGGTGCCCCAATAGCACCATGCCGTGCTGTGGTACACGTACCAACATAGCTTCTTTATCAAAAGTAGATATGCTCCATTTAGCAGTATAATGTGCTTTTTATTATATAAACACATAGCAAGTGAAAGGCTATTTTCCTTCCTGGATTTAAAAAAAAAAAAAAAAAAGTGTCCTTGCTCAGCTCAGAGCTGTACTACCTAGCACAGACAGCTAAGAACATGAGACAGTTCACTGAAAATCTTCACAAAACTTTCTCATTCTCTTCAAAGAAAGGTTAGTCTATACCAAAAAAACGGAGTCTATTAAAAGATGCTCAGTAAGATACATTGCATATTCTCCAAATGTCTGCCACAGATGGCATTCTGTCTGTAACCATGATTTGAAAAAATACTGATTTATGTTCCACAGAACACAGGGAAAAAATAAAAAATAAAATTAAAAAAAATGGTGCCAGCCACTAGAAAGGAACAGGCTCCACTAAGCAAATTGTAAAGCCGTAGGAATCACTCCTATTACTCAGGGTTGAAATGCTCCTAACAGCCCAAAGAAGAAGGCTGAACGATGTGAAACATGTCAACATGGCCTTATTTAGGGACTGCTGATCTGCAAGGGCTGCCAAACAAGGGGAAAGCAATGGGACCGCAAGAACAGTAGGTAAAAATGTTTAGTGCTACGGCTTGCAAGTCACGTGTAAGGGAAGCCCCCAAACAAGCACGAATGGCAGGATAACACTACACACCTCATGAGTGCACAGCCTGCACTGTCGGCACTGGGAAATAATGGCATCCCGGGGTACAAATCCGAAGACTTTACTAACCCCTTTCTAGCACTGCTTACTGGTGGGGCATTCCCTCCTCCTACCTCCTCAGGGATCAGAGGGTCTGTGGAGAAGCATGTACACACTCTGCGTTGTCTGGGAGTTTGTGTATGGAGGTACCAGGTAGCAAACCAAGATGTATTTCTATCAACATGCCCTAAAAGAGATTGTGCAGAAGACACTCGCTATTCCTGACAGGTGGCGCTCATTCCCAGTCCCCCCAGAATGTGCTGTAAAGGCAGTGCATTCTGCAATGGATGTAAGCCCGGTATTTTTGTATATACCAAAGCTTTGAGGATTTAATTCCCCACAGTCTCCTCAAAATTTCCCATCATCTCAGAGGAATCATTAGACTGCAACGGAGAGTTTACGGCCTGACAATCTCCAGACACACAACAGCTAATATGACCTTTTGCATGGCCTTCTTTTCAATGTCCTCAACAACGTATCATCATGTGCAGCCACACAAAGCTAATGGGAGCTACTGCCAGGTGAGAATAAATTGCAGCAACATCGTGCCAGTGAAATAAATATTTCAAATTCTAGTTGTGACACTCCAGCTTGAATTCAGATTTCAAAACCCTTATCCTGGAAGCACTGTCGTACACGTGATTTTTCCAGCCAGAGGCTCACAGCCTCTGATAGGACTTTCTTTTTTCACATGCACCGGGCTGCGCGTCTGTAGCAACCAAAGTCGGCACTGCTCATTTGAAGCCTGCTCTGTTCTCAGGAACGTCGTTACCAGCGATGCTGGGAGAGTAAAACAATTTGCTTCCACCTGCAGACATTTCTGGCCAAATGCACCAATGCAGGCCTTGCCTGCCGATCCCTTCTTCCTCATTCAGAAAGTAGGGGTTTGGACATTTGGAATAAATGAACAAAACTGACTGCTCATTTTTATTTAAAAAATGTTGTGGGTTTTTTTTTTCTTTCACTGAAAAATGAGACTTTGTCAAACTGCTGCTGAAGTTAAATTGTACAAGGATTACAGAGCTGGAACCAACATCTGCAAATATGAGCCTAGTTTTATTGCATTTGGTTAACTGCAGTATACGGATCACCCGCCTGTGAAATCAGCTACTCAGCTGGGAAACCAACAGATCTTCAGTTTTTGACATTTTAGTAAATACAGATTTCCTTAAGTTATTGTTTTTATGGTCAGAACTGCTAAACTGCATAGTCCACCAACTCAGTCTGCAAGAACAAAATCTCTAGCTGTCATTCAGCACTCCATCTGTACTCCCTGAACCAGATGCCTTCTCAGTCATCATCCAAACTCAGCTGAAATACCTATCCTGACTACCTCTTTTTTTATTAATATTTTTATTTTATTTTTTTTCCCCCATATAATTCAATTAATATGGTATGTAGGGTTTAGATTTTAAGTCGGTGGAGGGCCTACGTCTCCTTGGCCATCAGGAAGTGCCGAATTCCCAAAGGGCTGCTGTGGAGCTGCCCATGTCAGTGGTCTAGGTCCTTTCTCCATTGTGGGATGTCGGGATTGACTTCAGTGAGGTCGCTGGTACTTAGACACGGTGGTAGCTTACACATGAAGATGTAAACGTCAACTGAACTAAGGTTATACCACTGTTTTGGCTGCTGATTTCCTTCATTGTTTTCCTTGAGTTGAGTGCTAAGGGAATTCTTGTATAGGGCATGACCACAGGTGCAAGGAGTATTTGTCTGAAATATGATCTAAGCTGATGATGCCTACATCCAAAAAATAAAGGCAGTCCTAGGAATGAAAACAAGCTTCTGGGTTAAGTGCAATGTTTGTACACTCTTTTGGATTCTGGAAAGCACCACACAGAACATCATATGAACATATAGATAAAGTTAAATTTTTATTTAATGCAGTTACTCAATCCTAAAGAGAATTGCTTAGTATCACTGACTGCTGCTGAACAATACGCTTTTCACAGAATCAGAGGTGGAGCTAGTATCTCACTGTCTTTAAAGCTGCCCTGCATGTCCTTTGTCTTCAGCTCCTTAGAACTGTGCCACTTTTAACAAATTAAGTTTCTGTTTCCCAGGCTCCTTGTTGTTTGGGAGCAAACATTTTGCAAAATTTTAGCAAAGAAAGATATAGCCTTTCTTCTGATGAGTAGATAAGGCTAGGGAAAAATATAAATAAATAAATAAATAAATAAATAAATAAATAAATAAATAAATAAATGGTTGTGTTCCTGTTAGTAGTTCCAGTAACTTCAAGAACCACTTGTGTCCCCTGCCCTGCAGCAGCAACGCACTTGGTAGGGAGATAACACACGAGGAGCTCCACGCTGCCCCAGTAGGATTAGGCCACATAAGTGCAAACATACCTGAATTTGTCAAAGTTATAAAGCGCAACAAACCTGATTTTGCACGTATGCATATATCCTGCTATACCTGCTGATCGTGTGCTCAGTTCCCTGATGACTGCATTTCGGTAGGGAAGCACCCAAATGCAGGGTAAAACACGACTTTATCTGTGTTTCCTCTTCTAACTGCCCTATGTCAGGGTTCCCTGATGCAGGTTTGGGATGCCCAGAGAAGAAAACGGAGCAAAGAGGCGAGCGCTGCCACAGCTCCGGCCCGGGTAGGCCCTGCCCGGCCCCGCCGAGCCCGGGGCGGCCTCGGGTCGGTGCCCCCGGCTGGGGGGACCCCCGGGGAAGCCCGACCCGGCCGAGGGGCGCCGTGGAGGCCCCGCTGCCTGCCGAGGAGCTGCCGCCCGGCCCCGCCGCGCAGCCACAGCGCGGCCCTGGAGGGGCGGAGGCGCTGCCGGAGGTGCCTGGGGGGGAGCGGGCGGGCGCCGAGGGAGCGCAGGGACGGAGACCGCAGCTCGTCCCCGGCTCTGTCCGTGAAATCCGTGCCATGCAGCAGCGTTGGGAGCGCCGCCGTGAACCAGCCACCCAGCCCGCTGCATTTAGGGTGAGTGTTAGGAAGAGAACGGCGAGCCCGCAGCACGGAGCCGCAGAGAGACGGCGGCCCCGGAGAGCTGAGGCTGTGCTTTAGGGCCGGCCGGCGGGGGCACATCGCCACATCCAGCTCCTGGTTATTCGGTGCCCAGAGCAGCCGGCGGCTGGCAGAGGGGTCAGTGTGTGGCTGTGTGTGCCCCGTGCCAGCGGGCAGCCTCGCCTCCGGGCACCGCCGTCGGGTAAGCCCGTCACATCCAGGACAGGAGCCGCTTGCAGCCCGCCTCCTGCAAGCGGCCCCTCGGAGCAGCGAGATGCGGGAACCACGGCACGGGGGGGCTCAGAGGGGGCTCAGCTCTCCGGAACTGGGCTTAGAACTGTGAAAGTCGCGTGTTGGGATTGGATTGAGAAGTGGCAAAAGGTGCCGGCTTTGGTGGACCAGTGGGCGAGTTTCATTAAGTGATAGGATCTGGCACTTCATCTAAGAAGAAATAGGAGTTTGCATGTGATACGTCCAAGAAACAGTCCATCCACGGGAGAGAACAGCAAAAGCTTTGTTGCTTTCGGTGGAGACAAGGTCAAGGCCAGAGTAATCCAGTGACCCATCTCGTGTTACTCCTCCAGCTGGTGCCTGCATCGTCACAGGAGTGCCATGAAGGTGTACATGTGGGGAGAGCCTCGGCGGACTGAACTTCAGGATCACACTTGAAAGCAGTGGAACGAGGGGGTGAGAGCATGTGTTGCATAGTTCAAACATGCACAACTTCGTGCTGGGTCTGTTTTTAGCTTTTCCTTTTTAAAGTTTGTGTTGCTGCCTGAGTGGCAAAGGCTTTTTTTTTTTTTTTTTTTTAATGAAGTCTCTTTAGGTACATCTCTAAGGAGGCTGTCAGGAGGTAAGGCTTTGGGGAAAAAAAAAAAAAAAAGTTTCAAATGATCAGGACATATTTACAGGCGATACTGAGAGTGTGGGATCATATTGTCCCCCCTTCTGCTCTTAGTGCTGTGCTGTGCTCTGCGATGAGCTATTTTAGGAGCTCCGGTATGCAGAGCATTTTTGCAGTTACACACAAAATAAAAAAGTTTAAGAACAAAAGATTGTTCTGGACAGTCAAACTGGAATGAGTTGGAAGGATACATTTAGGAAGTGGTTTCTTGGACACTAATTAGGACCATTTGCTTGGGGTTGCCATTATTTTCCTTTTAGTCTGGAGGGCACAATAGATCAAATGATTTATATATCATTAACAATTCCTGTTAACCATAAGCAGGGTGGTTGGGCTTTTCCATACTGATTACTACGTAACGCAATAACGGCTTGTTTCATTTCTTCTGCAGTGTCCGTATGAGCACGTTAACGTAAAAGACCAATCCAAAAAGAAGCTCTTCAACTCCTTTTTTTTTTTTTTTTTTTTTTTCTGCGTGACTCCTAATGTCTTTGCATTCTGCAGGAGCTGCTGAGACACCCAAGCACCTCAGTTCTTTGTACCTTCCACGGCCGGAACACTGGTGTTCGTTGTACCTGATACTGGCTCCCAGTGAGCGCATTTTAATTGTAATAAAACACAAACTGAACCATATGTGCACGTGTGTTTTAGACGCAGCGTTATTGATCACCCTTTCCCTTTTGTGCTACAAGTAACGGGGTTTGTCAATTATCAGACTGTAATCTGGTAATACGATTCATTTATCTCTAAAAGAAGCCGAGAAAGTAGGCATGTGCCGTATTTAACATCACTTGTATGCACCGCGGCGTTCACGAAATGCTGATTTGGGTAGGTCCGGGAGTTTGGGTTGTTTTGGCGAGGGAACAGGGGACGGCGACACTGTGCTGTGCGGTGCTGTGTGATGCTGTGTGATGCTGCTGTGTGTTGTTTCGAGCTGCTGCGTGCTGTGCCCTCCGCTGGAGGCGGGCGGCGCCCGGGGAAATCCGCCCCCGGGGGCTGAGCCGCGCTCGGGGCTGGGGAGAGGGAGGCTCACCGGCTTCCCCCGGGGTCCGACTAATTTAGGTCCTCTGCAGCTGATTGCTCAGCGGGCCGTTTGGTGCCCGAGTCCCTAAAAGCCTCGGGACGACGCAGGAATTCCGTTTGCAAAGGCAGCACGAAGTGCACGGCGTGCTGCGGGGGTGCCGAGCACCCAGGAGGTGCCGAGCACCTCGGGGGGACCTCACCTGCGGCTCCTCCGCCCTCCTCTCGCTAGGAAGCCTCCCTCTATCTCCCCCCGTCCCGAGTGTCCCAGGGGGGCTGCTAGGATCGGAAAGGCGTTTTTTTGTTTTTGTTTTTTCCTTTTTTTTTTTTTTCCATGTGCGCATACTCCCACGTGGAGCAGCAGCCGCTTTCGCTTGGGCTGGCAGCTCCCGTCGGGCGCTCGCTGTCCCGTTTCGATCCTCCCTCAGCTTTGGCTGACCGAAATGGCCCGAAGCCCGTTCCGAAAAGCTGCTGGTGCGGGCTCGCAGATGCTGAGGTTCGGATCGTTTGAACGTCAGCGCAGCCTTCTGGTAACACAAAACATCCAGGCGGGTTTCGGTGGTGTGCTAACACCCCTCGGACGGGAGAGCAGCACGCTTCAGGGCCGGGGGCCGCTGCCGGCTCCGGTGCCCCGGGCGGCGGGGACGCGGCGGTGCCGGCTCCGGTCCCGTTCCCGGGGGGCAGCAGGGACGAAATGAGGCGTGAGGGCGGCGGGGGCCAGCAGCAGGTGGCTCACGACGAGTCCAGCACCTTCCTCCTCCTCTTCCTCCTCCTCCCGTTCCCCCCGCGGGGCCGGCGGCTGGGGGAAGCCGCCCCCGGAGAGCTCGGGGGGGAGAGAAGGAAGGGTCGGGGGCTGCTGCGAGACCCCGGGGGGTGGAGGTGAGCGGCTCCCCCTGTGCCCTTCGCCCCTCGCCGGCTCCCCGCTCCTTGGCCAGCTCCGAGGGCGCTGAGGAGCATCCCTCCCTCGCCTGCTTTGCCCTTTGCTCTGAGCAGATCGCCAAGCCGGCCGCGCCGAGCCGACGGGCACAGGGCTCGGGGGGGAGATGCGGAGGTGCCGGGGGGCTGCAGAGCCCTGAGGGACCCCGGGCCCGGTGGGGCAGCGGCTGGTAGCCCCCGGGGCAGGGCGAGTCCGGCCCCGGCGGCGGCTCCCGAGCCCGCACCTCGGCGGTGCATCACTTGTCAGAAGCAGTGGCACCTCCCGAGCCGTGATTCCGATTCATCTTGGCACCGGGTTTTATTCTAATGGGTTAAATTGGGTTCCCTTTTTTCAATTATCCCAGGTTTGACTGCGTGGTGTTGCATGACAACTCGCAGTTTCATCGGGTTTGGCAAAGCGAGGTTGCTCCGTGAATCCGTATATCATATCACATCAGATCAGCCTCAAGTTTGCTGTTTAGCGACTCCGTTTGAGAGGCTTTTCATGAAAGTGGGAAGGGTTGATACAGTCCATGGCTGGTTCGGTACGATTTGAAAGAAAAAAAAAAAAAAAAGAAAGAAAGAAAAGAAAAAAAAATGTGGAGAGATGGCAACAACACGGGGTTTGCTCTCAGCTGTGAATAATAACAGAACGAAAAAAACGACACGATGGGGAAAGGCTCCGCTCCCTGCAAGATTTTTAGCAGGCTCCCAGTCCTCGCCTTTTTTTAATTTCCTAATATGTTCTTTGCTTTATTAGTTTTATTTACAACCAGCTCCCCATTAACACCTCACCTGATTACTGAGGAGCTGAGACAGCTAATCAAGAGAATCCAGCGAGGCAGCCCAAACCGAGAGGTGGGATTTAGTCCTCTTTCTGCTCGTTCTCTCTCTTTTTTCGTTTGTTTGTTTGGTTTGTTTGGAGAAATATTTTGAAGCCAACAGAAAATAAAAGGCAGGTATAAGCGTACGCTGGCGAAGGGTCAGAGGTTAGAAATTCACGTCAATTCTGCATTAGAGGCTGTGTAGCGGGGGAGAGGGAGAGGGGAAAAACCTCCACCAAGCAGCTTGTTTATTTTAATTAACATAGGGATCCTCTGCTAGGAACAAGGAACAACCTCCATCTACTGGCTAGATCATCGCCTCTCTTCTCCATCCAAAAGCCATCCCTCATCACTCATTAAGGAGGGTACAATTTTGGAAGAAGCTTCTAAGGTCTCAAGGTAAGATCCTGCATGAGCCTGTGCTAGCAGAGCAGCTATTGCGACCTCACGGATGTCATTTGCGGGGTGTTTCTTCGGCGCTGTGCTTTTTTTTTTTTTTTTTTTTTTTTTGTTCCCCTTTAAACACCACGGAATGGTCGTTTCCCCAGGTGTATTCGCAGACAACATTTGGTGCGTGTGTGTTTTAATCTAGAAAAATCGCAGCCTGGGAAGACTGAGCCATTCAGCTTAATAAAAAGGAGCCCGCGCCCTTTATTTTTTTTTCTTTTTCTTATTTATATACCTTTTTTTCTTGCCGTGGAATGGCTCCTCTCACCTGGCTGCGAGGCTAGCCTTTACGGGTGCGCCCTCCAAAAGCGGCGCAGCACGCTCATTTCCAGCGGCTTAATGACAACCGGAGCACGAATGAGGCTGAGGTGAACACGAGAGAAGCGAGGAGCTCACAGAGCTGAGGTCCTGCTCGGTTCGCACAGTTCCGTGTCAGACAATAACCTGCCTCTCCTGCTTCCCCCTGGCACTGCCATGGCTTCGGGTTACCCCAGCGCCTGGCCGTGGGGATGCGCCTGGGCTTACCCTGCCAAGCGCCTCGTGGTTTCTCAGTTAAGCACCGTCTCGTTCAGAGGCTGAATGCGAGGCTTAATTTCCGTGCATTGCAGTTACGGGAGGTACAAATGCGCCGGGCTTTTCCTTTTTTCCGTTCGGTGCCGGCTGTGCCGGGCTTTCCCTGCCCCGGCTGAGCGGCATTTGCTCGGCTCCGGGCTACAGGCGAGGGGCAGGAGAAAGGGGGAGATGGGAGAGGATGCTGCTGCGGACACCAAGGAGGAATTTTAAACAATACCGGGCTTTTTTAATTTTTATTCTTAGAAAACGCAATCATCTCAATGCTGAGAAAATCGGCTAATTCCATACCGCCGCCGACGGATGTAACCCCACGAAAATTTTCTTTCTTTGTGTCTAGATTGGTTGGACTGGGCGCAGACTTCACAAAGCGAGGGGGCTGAGCGGGAACAGCACCGCACTCCACCGCCAGCCATCAGAGCACGAAATAGCGTTAGGCTTTAGGAACAGACCCGTCTTGTCCTCTCACCCCCCACTTTGCCCCCGGCCCAGGGTCGCGGTCCTGCTGCTGCTCTTCCCCCGACTTTGGCACCGGCGGCACGGCGCGACCCCAAGCAGCGCTGCCCGGCGCCCTCCCCTTCCTTTGCTAATTACCGCCGGTCGATAATTAATTTGCACGTAGCCGTTGCCCCGGACCCTGCCGACCAAGCGCAAGGTCGTTCACGCTGTAAGGGGCTTCAGCCCGTCGCCCGTGGCCGGGAGGAGCGCGGTGCCGGTGACCCGGCTAATCGCCGGACTAGCCATGGGGCTGGGGGCGAGCCCAGACCCGGGGCCGCCGCGCTCAGCAGGCGCGGTCCCTGCGCGGGTCCCCGCGGCCACACGTCCCCTGGCACCCTCGGCGGCCCGGGACACCCGTGCCAAGGTGTCCCGGAAGGGAGGAAAGCCCCCAGACCTCCTGCCGGGGAGCTGGGGTGCTGTGGGCACGGCGCATCGCTCAGCATCCCCGGCGCGCTGCGGCGCAGGGGGAGAGGAAAGCGCCCCGCAAGGGGACACCGCGTTGAGGGCCCGAGTGCTAATGCAAACGGATCCATTGGGGATGAAGTGGTGGATTTGGATTTTAGGTTCCCCGTTGTGCTCTTTGTGGGATTTTCTCTCCCCTTGCCGAGAGAAGCAGCCGGAGCCGGCGGCCTCCGCGCTGCAGCCTCCGGGCTCCGCGGTGCCAACCTGCAGCCGGGGCGCTGAAATATCTGTACCGTGATGTCCCCCAGGCCTTTCGGACACGGAGAAGTCAGGTTCGATGCTAGCAACGAACTTTTCGGTGTCCCTTTAGGTAAGAAGCGCTCCGGCGGCACCAGCACGCCGAGCAGGGCACGCTTTAGGAAGGCCCGGCCTCCTCCGGAGGAGCGTGTCCCTGCCGCTAGCTGACGGCGCAGCCCTCGGTAATTAACCGTGCCCAGCCGGGGGGGGCTCGCTCACTCCCGACTTTTGTTACGAGCCTGCCCAATTATTCCTAGCGGCGCCGAGGGGCTCAGGTAGGGCTGCGCATCCACAGCCCAGCCTGCCGGGATCCGGCAGCCCCTGCCCCTGCTCCGGGAGAGGGTTCGGGCCGGCTTTGGGGTGCCCCGGGCCGGTTTGGGGTGCCCGTGCCCTGCACACGCCGGAGCGCAGCCCGGCAGGACGGCCGGGAGGGGATTTTCTTAAAACCTCTCGACCCAAAGCGTCCCAGGATGGGCTTTCTCGTCTCTGCGGGCAGCGGCAGGTAGCAGCGAGCAGCCGGCACACGCTCCTGCCCTGCCGGGGGGTTACGGCCCCCCGAGGAGCCGGCCGGCCCCTGCCCGGCCCTGCCCGAGCCCCCTGCCCGAGCCCCCTGCCCCTCCCGGCCGCGCCTGGGCTCGGCGGGGGCACGCGGCGAGGGGGGGCCCGGGCGAGCAGCCCCCGCAGCCCGGACGGAGCCACCCCGGGTATTTTTTCCTGACGCCTTGTTGTGCTAATTGACTTGTTTGCTCCAAGGAAAGCCTCTCTCTCCCTCCTCCTTCCCCACGCGCAGGTTTTTCTTTTTCTTTTTTTTTCTTCCTTTCTTTCTCTTCCTTTCTTTCTTCCTTTCTGTCTTTCTCTCTCTCTCTTCTTTCCTTAATGTCTTTTTGTTTTTCATTTCTTTTTCTTCCCTTCTTTCTTCCCTTCTTTCCTCCCTTTCTTCCCTTCTTTTCTTTCTTTCTTTCTTGCTTTCCTTCTTTCTTTCCCTTCCTTCCTTTCTTCCTTTCTCTTTCTTCCTCTCTCTTTCTTCCTTTTTTTTTTTTTTTTTTTCTTTTTGACCGTGAGCGCTCTGCAGGAGACTCGGGCTTGTGGCGGCATCTATCCGTTTTAAGGAGATTCCCTTACCCCTTTGAGTCTCGTCGGTTTTATAGCTATTACTCTCTTATTAAAACACACACACACATACAACACATTGATTTCCATCCAAAAGGGCTAATTACATTACTTACAGTAAATAGCAGCCCTGCTGTCCAGGGTCTAGTGTGCCAACAGAGAAAAAAAATCCCGGCTTATTTCACTTGATTGACTTCATCTTTGTGTGAAATTGTGTTTTATGAGCTGTATTCTGGCACTCGGAGGAATGTAGCAACATTCAATCTGCAAATAACATTAATTTTAGCTACTTAGGGGGAAAGAGAAGGGAGGAAACGGGCTGCCTGGATCTTGGGTTACATGGAAGAGGTGACTCGAGGAGCCCCTGAGGATGTCTCTGGGATGCTGTGGAAAGGAAGTGGGGGCTGGGGTACTTGTTTCACTAGCCGCGCTCGGGCTTGGTGTGGAGCGTCCCCCAGGGAGCGAGGAGCGCAGAGCTGCCGCCAGGAAGATCCTTCAGTGGGGATCGAGGTGTCAGGAAACAGCCGGCAGCTGTTCCAGAGAAAGGCAAGGAAGAGTGGTGTGAAAAGTAAGTAGGAAAAAGGGGAGAGGAGGGGAGGGGGAGCAGGGAGAGAGATTAGCCGGGAAGGAATGCATCGCCCGGACCCCTGCGCGCAACCAGCGCTCGCAGCCGGCGGCCGGGGAGCGGCCGAGGGACGAGACCGCAGCGGGGGTGGGGGCCTTCCCTTCCCTTCCCTTCCCTTCCCTTCCCTTCCCTTCCCTTCCCTTCCTTCCCTTCCCTTCCCTTCCCTTCCCTTCCCTTCCCTTCCCTTCCCTTCCCTTCCCTTCCTTCCCTTCCCTTCCCTTCCCTTCCCTTCCCTTCCCTTCCCTTCCCTTCCCTTCCCTTCCCTTCCCTTCCCTTCCCTTCCCCACCCCGGGCACAGAGCCGTACCCCTTTGCCCGGCCCGGCCCCTCCCGGGCGCCTCCAGCCCGCGGGGCTCCGGGTTTGGGGGAGGCGATAAAGCCCACCCCAGCCCACCCCAGCCCACCCCCAGCCCGGCCGCGGTGTTTGTCACGGCTTGCCCATCACTAGGGGTTGAGAGGAGTATGACAGGTCTTTGTTGTCTGAATAAAAATCAGTGGCAGCTCAAGGGAGAGAACTCCTCCTACTAAATTATCAAAAATGGGCTGGCTTTAGTCTCTTAACAAATTGGACAGAGCTCCGGAAAGCAGCAGTCCCAAATCCAACCTACAGGCACTGGGAACTTTAAAGCAACCAGGGACTGCTGAAAATAGCACTTCTTTTTGCTTTCTTTGTATTCAAAACTATAGCCTTTCCCGAGCGCTTCTACTGCCCCAGGTCCAAGTCTCTCCAGACAGGAGCCCCGGCTCTTCAGAACAGTAACAGATCCTTTAGCTCGCTTTTGTTATTTTATTTTTTTAAATTAATTATTATCACATTTTCTCCCCCTTGTTTGTTTTCTGCACATCTTCAGGAAGCCCTCGGTGCTTGTGCAAAGAGAAGCTCCTATTGCAACCTCCCTCCCTGCGCTGTGCGCCTCGGTGTAAACCTTTTGGATGATCTAAAGACTCTGGGGTCTGTATATGGAAATAGTGGGGTGCAGAGCAGAAGAAAATACTTGTCCTTTCCGTCCCCCAGCCATGCTTTTCCACGGGATCTCCGGAGGCCATATCCAAGGAATCATGGAGGAGATGGAGAGGCGATCCAAGACCGAGTCCCGCCTGGCCAAAGGGGGACAGATGAACGGCCGAGAAACGGTAAGGAGGGAGCTGGCCCCTCTCGAGAGGGGTCCTGCGAGCGTGGGCCCCCACGGGACAGCCCCGACTTGGGGGCAGCCAAAGGCGCTGCCCCCCCTGCCCCTTCCCCGCAACCCTGAGCTTGTAGAAACTGTTCCCGGCCAGCCTCCCGTAAGGCCGGGTGCCGGGCCGGGCCGTGCCGGGCCGGGCTCACTTGCATTTGTCCCCTCCATACTGCCGGGTGTGCTCTCCGGAGCACGGGGGGATTATTTGGGGTCGCTGCTCGGGGCGCTGCGAGCAGCCCTGCGGTGGCCGTGCCCCGTCCGAGCGGGGCTGCGATGTGTGCTCCGCTTTCCGCGCTGCTCGCACCTCCCAAACGAAATCCTGCACCCCCCGGCTGCTCGCTTTTCCTCGCCGTTTCTGGCCCCGAGCGGGGGGCTGGCAGAGAGGGGGCTCTCCCCGAGCGCCAAGCCCGCTTTGGTGCGGCAGCGGGGGGGTCCCGCAGCGCTCTGTGCCCCCCCTCGCCCACTTGTAGGGCTTCTGCGGCCCCGCAAGGACCGGGCACAAAGTAACGGCCCGGAGCCTGCGCCGCCGCCTCGGGCCCTGGGGTCTCCCCCCCTCTCTCCTAAAAAAAAGCCCCCGCTTTGTTGCGGGAGGATTTGCAATGTAAATCCCCCTCGCCTTTCCCATCGCTGTAAGAAAGGGGCGCGCAGCACAACTTCGGGTCGGAAAATGACCGCGGAGCTGCCGCTTTTACACACTTGTGGCTGCACAGGGGGGTGTTGGGGGCCCGTTTTCCCCGCTCCTTTCCCGGCGAGAGCAGCCCCGGGCTCCGCGGCGGAGCTTTTGTTGCGGCGGCCGCTCCGTGTGCCCCTTTGTGCGGATCCGGCTGCTCCGGGGGCGCCCGGCCCCGGCAACCCGCACGAGTTGCTTGCCCAAAAGATGCTGGTTTTCGACGAAACCCGGCCCGGGGCTGAGCGCTCGCTGCTCTTTGCAGCATCCACCTGTCTCCTCTCCCCAGCTCCGCTCGTAAGCGGCCCGTTCGCCTGCAGAGACGGGCTCGGGGCTGCTTGGAGCATGGGGGAAAATTGCCGGGAGCGCGCACCCGTGCCCCAGAGTTGCAGCGCAGCAGAGCGGTGCTGCCCTGCTCGGAAACGCCGTTCCCCCGGAGCGCCCCGATCCACAGGCAAGAGCGACGGGGAAGCTGCAGATGTAACTTGCCAAACCCGGAGAAGAACCGGCTCTGCTTCCCTTGCCGAGGCCTAAGCAGTCGCCTCCACATGTCCCAAAGCCGTGAGGCTGTTGGGGGGGGGATAGCGGGGTGCAGCCGGCAGCTGAAGCCCGGTAGAGGTGCTGGGGGGTCGCGGGGAGCGTCCCAGCCCCGTGTGACCCGTGGTCGCGGCGCGGTTGTCTTGCAGAACATGCCCCCCCTGAGCCCCGAGAAGCCCGCTCTGTGCGCCGGCTGCGGAGGGAAGATCTCCGACAGATATTACCTGCTGGCTGTGGACAAACAGTGGCACCTCAGGTGTCTTAAGTGCTGTGAATGTAAACTGGCTTTGGAGTCAGAGCTCACCTGCTTTGCCAAGGACGGCAGTATTTACTGCAAGGAGGATTACTACAGGTACAGCAAGCAAAACCGCAGCCCCTCACAAGGCATTTCCACGCGAAACGCGCTTTAATTCCACACGGGCTTGCAAAGGCGGCTTTCTGCGGCCGCCGGTTCCCTGACCGCATGCCCCTGTCCCCTCCCTGCAGTCTCCCCCGTGCCGACCCCAAACGGGTGGCCGGGGGGGTGTGGGGCACACGAGCCCCACAGGAGCCGTGCCTCGGCTGTCCCGCTGCCCTGGGGTAGCCCCCAGCGAAGGCAGCCAGGAGCCAGCCAAAGTTTCCCCCTGCCCGCTGCCTGCCGGTTTTTCCACCGCTCGGGACCCGAGGAGCCCCTTCCTCGGCCCTAAAAGCAGGGGGAGCTTTTAGGGGTCCCACCCGCCCCTGTCTGCGCTCACTGGCGGTGGGGCAGCTTCTGCACGCCCAAGGGAACGGGGCCACCCGGCGGAAAATGTCCCCAGGCGCTGCTCCCAGCAGCTCGGGCCGGGGCCGGGGGCTCCCCGCCGCCCCCCCCGGCCGGGAAGGAGGCGGGTGGGCAGCGGCGGGGGCGGCCTTCCCCTGCTTGCCTCGTTGATGCCCACTTCTCCGTTTCCCTCAGAAGGTTCTCCGTGCAGAGATGTGCCCGCTGCCACCTTGGGATCTCGGCCTCTGAAATGGTCATGAGAGCCAGGGAGTCGGTGTATCACCTGAGCTGCTTCACCTGCACCACCTGCAACAAGACTCTGACCACGGGCGATCACTTTGGCATGAAGGACAACCTGGTTTACTGCAGGGCCCACTTCGAGTCCCTTTTGCAAGGAGAATACCCCCCTCAGCTGAGCTACACCGAGCTGGCAGCCAAGAGCGGAGGGCTGGCGCTGCCTTACTTCAACGGCACCGGCACGGTCCAGAAGGGGAGGCCCAGGAAAAGAAAGAGCCCTGCCCTAGGAGTGGACATCGTCAACTACAACTCAGGTGGGAAACACACACTGAGCTCCCCTGCCCCTCCGCAGAGAGCTCGCTCGGGCTTCCCCTGGGCTAGGCAGTGGGTGAGGGACCCGGGCAGGCCAAACCTTGCTGAAGCACTGGGCAATCAGACAAACAGCCCTCGGAGGGCTGCAGGGGTTGCGGGGAAGCTAGCAGCAGCCCTCCTCGAGGGCTGTCTTTGCCTATTAATGTCAAGCACCCAAACTTAGCCACTTCCCAGGGTAAAGACAAAACCAAACCAAAACAAATCCCTGACAAACACCGCGGAGTTCTTTCTCCATAGGAACCTCAGAGATAGCGGTGCCGTTATCTGTATTTTACGAACAAAAACCACTTCGTCATTCAGACCTCAAATTAAAAGCACCCAAAAGGATCAGCAAAAAAAATAATTTTAGGGAAAAGGCAGTGCATGGCTCCTACGGCGTCAATGGAGTATGCGTGCACTCAATAAAGATAGGCAACACGTAGCAATGAACTCTTCGGGCTAACAGTCCCGTTTTACTGGCACATAAACATCCGAGCTGCACAAGAGGCCAACGAATAAATGCTGTTCCCTGCAACTAAGCCTTAACAAATGTAATTAACGAGAACGGGCTCTGCTCTCTTAAGGGGAGGCAGGGAGCGGGTGGTGCTCTGCCTTAAATCCCCCCTACCTCCAGCCACTTTAAGTCCCCAAACCGTGTCTAGAGACAGTGCTGGCGGCCGGCGGCGGGGCGCTTCAGGCGGGGGTTCACCAGGCGGGAGAAGAAAGCGGCGAGGGTTAAGCCCAATTACCCAGCTCCCGACCCCAAAATGCTTGCAGAGAGCGCAGGGAGAGGGACGCGAGCGAGCTGCGGCCTCCCGGCCTCCTTCCCTGCCTCCTTCCCTGCCTCCTTCCCTGCCTCCCTCCGCCCCAAAGCCGCTCGCTGCCACTGGGGGCCCCTGCGCGGCTCCTCCTGGCGGGCCGGGAGCTGCTGCATCTCCTCGGAGCCGCGGGCCTCGGAGCCAGGGCAATCACGGCGCTAATTGTTCCTTGTTAATTGAAGATGACATCGGAATCCCTGGCTCCGGAGCGGTTTCCAATCAGTGCTGAAAGCTGCTAAAGAAAAGGGGACCTGTAGCACAGCCAGGGCTCGCTCAGTCCCGGCTGCTGAGGGGGTGGGGGGGCGCCTATGCCTCCGGTTCCCCCCCTCTCACCCACATCCCCTAAAAATCCCCCTTAAACAGAAATATTTAGGGACAGCTTCTCGTCAGGATTAGGATGGGAAATTAGGGAAAAACGAAAAGCTGTGGATATGACGAAACAGCCCCTAAGCTTCGGGTCAGGACTCGCGAGAGGCATTATTTGCAGGCGCTGTCAGAGTTCTCGTGCGCTAGTCCTAAAAGTCTCCTTCGTTACACCAGCGGGGGATGTAAGTTGTTTCGCCGACTCCAAAATGGGATTAAAAACCACTGCTCACGATAAAAATGTAGCTCACTTCATCGAGATCTCTCAGAATTAAAACCAGAACAAACAAACAAACAAGCCGCTTTAATCTGATGCTTTGGACTCGCTCTAGCTGGCCGAGAACTGTGACCCGGCAGGGCCGTAATGCTTTGATTTAGTCGTTTAAGGCATTACCGAGCCATGTCCAGCGCTGACACACGCTCTCGACAAAACACAGCTTGCAGCCAAACCGCGCAGCCGGCGCAAACGACTGCAGCCCACCGCCCCTCCGCGCTCCGGCTGCAGGGGGAGGAACAGGAGGCTGTGCCCGTCCCGAAACGAGCAGCGGGAGCCGAAACCGTTTCTCCCGAAACACGAAAGTCTCCCAACAATTGGCGGCCACCGCCCCGCGCTCACGGCCCCGGCCCCGCGAGGCCGAGCAGGGCACCGCTTCCAGCGGGCGGGCGGCCGCCGGGCACGGCCCCGCAGGGACAGGGGCTCAGCCCCGCACCCCGGGGTGCTGGGGGCGGCTCCTGCCTCCCCCGGCCCGGCTCGCAGCCCCCTGTGGCCCGGCCCGGCCCGGCCGAGCCCCCGCTCCCCGCAGCCCCCGGCGCGGCGCAGCCTCCCCGCGGCCGAGCGGGTCCCCAGGGGCGGCCACCAAAGGCTCGCTCCCGTCGCCCCCGGTTTGCTCAGAGCCCCCCCGCTAACACCCGGAGGGGAAGGGGAAGCCCAGGTTGTCCGGGGCGATGTGGAGAGAGTTTCCCATCGGGGGAGCGAGCCGGGCTCGGGTCAGTGCCACTGAACCGCCGTCCCCAGCCGGCCGCGCGTAAAAACGCGTGTGTGTGCCAGCGCCCCCGGCCCCGAGCTCCTTTTGTCCCGGGGAGCGCAGCTCGGGGCCAGGAGGGACCGGATTCCGCCTCCGGAGCCACAGCAGCCTCCCTCTGCTCTGCTCTGCTCTGCTCTGCTCTGGTCAGCGCTTTGATCGCTGCCTCGCAGCTCCCCGGCTGTAAAGTGGGAACGCAACGATAAATAACTCGAAATGATCCGAGGTAAAAGCCGTTCCTACCGGTGAAGTGCCTGGAAGCAACGTGAAAAAATGGGAGAAAGTATTCAAAAGTACTTAAAACATTCAAAGCTTTCTCTATATTACCTCTTATATCACAGAATTAATATGTATTTTGAGGGAAACCGTGTTGACTTACAGCCCACAGGATATAGAAATGAGATGGTGAAGAAGATTTCCCTAGGAAAATATTTTACACAGCTGTTGCTGAAAGAGCTGTTTACTTTATTTCACAGTATACATGTGAAAAATTCTTGGCAATAAAAAGCAAACTGTTGTAGCTCTTTCCAAAGCAAAATTAAATTCACAGCCCCGTGATCCCGTGGCAATGAAATGAGCAACGACGTCTTGCCCGATTTTTCGCTTCCCCCTGCTTCCCGGGCAGCAGCGTAAAGCTCCGCACACCGCGCGGCACAGCCACGCAGCGCTGCGCCACCCGTGCAAAACAGAGCCTGCTCTTATCACTGCATTAGCTAGGCTTGTCCGAGGATGCTGTGAGCCCCGTTCCCGTTTCCTGGTGAAAATGAAAGCCCAAGTCAATCAGGGACAAAAAGCAGCCCACAGAACCAAAGGCAGCGAGCAGGACAGAGGAGCCCGAGGAAGTTCGCTTTGCTGCTGCAAACGTGAGCGATCCGAGGGGAAGAACAGGAAAGCAAACAAACAAGCAGCTTGCAACTGTCTGAAGTGAAACTCAAGGATTGAATTCTGGTAATCTGATTTATGTCAGCGTGCGAGTTACTGCCCACACGCCTTGACTGAAGGCAGTGTGATTGCTTGTGAAAACAAGGAGTAAATACAAGCCAAATCTGGTCTGAAATTGTTTTCGAGGCAAATTTCAACCCCTGGTATTTTCAGAAGTGTCAGCTCACTTTGTTTGAAAGTGCAGATATACTTCCTACCAAGCCCAGAAGCAAACCTAGCTATAATTAACTATTCACCTGATTTTCTGTCAAAGTGTTGTCTTACCAGCATCTGTTCTTGTTGACTCGTCTTATAATTCAAAAGAGAAAGCACCTTCAAGAAGCTTTTTATTTTCTCCTGGTTTCAAGTTGTTTTGCCTCTGTTTTTAGCACTGTCAACATCAGTCTCTGTATTGTGCGATTTCTCTCCTTCTCTCCTCTCTTTTTGGAGAAACCGGGAGCTACTTGGCCTAGTAAATAATCCACTATTTGAGAGCAGTTCAGAAATTCAAATGAGCAACTAATGAAACTTGATCTAGTTTACACACATTCGGAAATATTTTTAATTAGCTGTTCTTTAAAGCTGTTCTTTAATTAATATGGTCTACCGTGATTACATCATCAATTCTCTCCTGTGTGGCTGAGCTATCTTTACAAAATGGGATCCTGAAAGTAACCCAATTGCTTTTAAGCCAAAAAGAAAAATACAGGATGCCACGGTCCCTGAATAGCTGCAACTCTAGTGTGCAAGTCATACCCATAAAAGTGTAATCTGGAACAAAGTCACCTTTTGGAGACACTTTGAAAATCCTGAGTCAGAGAAATCAGGGAAACTCTTATGCTTTGGAGCCACTGCTTGCTTGCTTGTAGAAATGTCACAGATCAGGACCGGCGAAGAGCTACTGCAAATCAGGACTGAGACCGAGGGCCTGAATCAAGCCCCAGTGCAGCCACTTTCTGGAGATGCTTTATGGAGCAAAGTCTCTGAGCAGTTCACATGAACTCCCAGGCAGAGCCCAAAAACATTCATTTTAGCATCAAAAAAAGTCCAGATTTTATGCTTTCCTGATCAACTGTCATAACAAAGTTTCCCACTGCACATCTTTTTTTATAGGTGCTTGTGATTTGGGGGAAAGCTCAGGAACACTCAGAATGCTGGCTTGACCTTTATTCTCCTCACAAGCTAAGAGTGTTTCAGTGGGTGAGATTTCAAAATCTGAATGAGATTTCAAATGACTCTGTGGATGCCCAAAGCAAAACCATCACCACAGGGAAAAGACTTGTTTGAAAATAAATGCCAAAGGAGAGATAACTTCCTAAGTCTGCCCTTAGTAGGTAAAGGCCTGGGAGACATAGCGTGTTTTAAGAATAGGAAAAGGTCATCTTCTTGATCTTTTTTTTTGTCTCATTTAATTATCACATCTGTACTTATTCTTGCACCACGATAGCTCTTCCTTCCTCTCTTTCTTGCTTGCTTCCTTCCTTCCAAATAGTACACGCGTGACGATTTTTGCCTTGTTTCATTTATCCTGCGTGGGGCATGGCCACTAACTCCTCGTTTCCTTTGTTCATTGCCCAGGTTGTAATGAGAATGAGGCAGATCACCTGGACAGAGACCAGCAGCCTTATCCCCCATCCCAGAAGACAAAGCGCATGCGCACCTCCTTCAAACACCACCAGCTTCGTACCATGAAGTCCTACTTTGCTATCAACCACAACCCAGATGCCAAGGACCTCAAGCAGCTTGCCCAGAAAACAGGCCTGACCAAGAGAGTTCTGCAGGTAAGCAGCCAGCATCACAGGCTTGCCAGCATTTTCCCCTACCCCCGCCAGCCGATAGCATTTCCCGTATGCGTAACGAGAGCGATATATATACAAATACTTCTGTTAGCTGCGTCCCTAGTGGGTTTTCAGAGGGGTGCGGTGTTACACAGCAGGAGTGCCAAATATGTGCCTTATCACCCAAAGGCAGCCAAACACTGCAACGTCATTTGTAAGTAGTTGCATCCTCGAGATGAGGAAACAGCCTCCACAGCCTACCAACTCAGGAGATACCCTGCAATCTGTAGTCAATTTGTGGTGGCCTCACTAAGGATAGAGGTAGCGAACCTTCTTGTTTTACACACACTGGGTGAAGCCTTTGGGCTCCTGTGCCGCAGTGAATGTGGCCCCTCAGTGAGCTGATGCCCCGGTACACAGGAGGGGAGCTTTGACTGCTATGATCTCCAGGACCAGCCTGTTCCCTGTTATCACTAAGGGCCTCTGTAGTAAAAAGTTACCTCTCTGCAAAAGCGCCCAGCAGACAACGTTAATAAAAATCCCCGTAAAGGTGCGTGCTAGCTCAGCGAAGTTAAAGTGAGGGATGTGTTACATGCAGAGTGCCAAAGAAGGGCAGCGATCGAGGTAGAAGGAGAATCTATTAGCAGCGATTGCTCGTCTGTGTTACATACCACCTAAAGCATTTCCAGTGAACCTTACGGAACAGAAAGACTAGGTGACCCGTATCAACAACCTGTACAACAGGGATGGTGTAATCACCCCTCCCTCCCTTCCTCGTCAGCCTTTTAAAATGATCGAGATAAATTTCAAGCCTTGGCAAAAATCTGCTCATTCAGCCTTTGCCTCGATCTCTGTTGTGAGTCTTGACCCCAAACCTCTCCAGCCCGAGAGAACACCATGTGGCCATCAAGAAGTCGCTCCCCTTGGGTGCGTGAGCGAGCAGGTTTTTTCCAAGGCTGCCCCTCGAGGTCTGCAGGCTGGGCTGCCGCGTTGCAGCGAGCGCCGTGGCGCCGGGCCCTCCCGCGTGTTGTAGTCAGGACCACCAGTAGCGAGCGAAGCTGTAGAGCGACTTGGGCGATTGGCCACACAAATCAATCGGCAGGACAATTACGTAAAAGCAAGAACAAAGACAAACAAACACAAACAAGCATCGGTAAAGAAATCAATTGGGATTGGTTTGCAGGTTTGGTTTCAAAACGCGAGAGCCAAATTCAGAAGGAACCTTTTGCGGCAGGAGAATGGGGGTGTCGATAAAGCTGATGGCACCTCGCTTCCGGCACCGCCCTCAGCAGACAGCGGCGCACTCACTCCACCCGGCACTGCGACCACTTTAACAGACCTGACCAATCCCACTATCACTGTAGTGACATCAGTGACCTCTAACTTGGACAGCCACGAATCCGGGAGCCCCTCACAAACTACCTTAACAAACCTTTTCTAACATTTCCTTTTTTTTTTTTTTTTTTTTTTTTAAATCTTACTCTTCTTCTTTATTATTATTATTATTATTATTATAATTTTTATTAATTTCAAGCCTTTTTTTTAAAAAAAAATACAAAATAACAAACCCACAAAATATTTGGGAAAATAAACAGCTTGATGTGTAGCATCTGCAGCCACTTGGCAAATGAGTTTGAAGTAATATGTTGCTATAATAAATGAAGATTTATTGTTGATAAATTGTACTCAAATTTTTTTAATTCATCAGACAACTGAGGAGAAGGTTATGAATCATTCCAATAAGTGCCTCTTAAAATTGTATGTTACTTATTTCCAGAATCTTGAAAAAAAGATTACTACTACTACTACAGCAAAAACAAAAACAAACTAACTACAAAAACAGAAGTTTCTTTTCCCTCCTTGATAACCAGACAAAAATCAGTTTAATTATAGCCAAAAGAATGCTGCTTCAGGATTGTTTGTTCACTCCTGGCATTTAAGAACACAAAATTTCATTTTATTTTTATAATGCATCTACAAATTTTGTATGATTTCTCTTTTAAGTGTAGAAAAATAAATGCAAAACGAATTAAATTAATCATTGGACTAGTCAGACTGTAAGTCCCAGTGCTTTTTGCTTACGCATTGGTCACAAGCCTGACCCCGCTGAGCACTGGGGAGTCTCACTGGGACAGCCAAACACCCCTCCAGCAGCTCTTCACCCAGCTGGGACATCCTCGGCCACCGCAGAAAGCTGGTGGAGGGCTGCAGAGCGAGCCCCAGCCCGCGCGTGGGGGTGCCGCTGCGAGTCTCTGCCTTCGCCGTCTGCTCGGGCAGGAGGCAAGATGCGGGGAACACCCTCCAGAGTGAGCTCACTGCTCTAAGGGCAGTATTAAAGTAATAACAGCAGAGTGACAGCTCAGGCTTGGAGTCCCACTGATCTGAGGAATTGCACAGGGAGGGTTTTTTTTTTTTTTTCTCTGCAATCGGTCACACAGCACTGATTTGGAATTAAAAAAAAAAAGAATGCAGTTTGCTACATGGCCTCGATGCCATGCTATTAAAGCAAACAGCCTCTTTAGTGAGCACAAAAATGATTTCCAAGGACGCATACGCACATGTACTGTTAAAACCAGTTTTTGATAAATCACACTTTTTCAGGGAAAATGGAAATAAGCAAAATATAATTTCTTAAGACGTTTAAGGAATATGATTTTAGTACAATTTACTCATTGCTATTTTGAATTTACTTTAGATGTTTCCTGAGATTGTATCAGATTCTTTGTTTAACACAGGAACTTAAAACCTTTAGTTCATTACTATCTTTAACATATGCTTTAACTTTTTAAACTTTGTATAAACGGAAAAAAAAATGTTAGCAAGAATTCTTACAAAATTGGGAATTGGCAGTGAATGATTTTAAAACAGATAAACTCAGAAGCCTTGTGGATGCTGATCTGAATACATTTCTTAGTTTACAATAGTGATCTTTCTCTTTTTAATTTTATTTAAGCTAAAAGTCTGAATGGTCTGGGCAGTGGTGAATGTTCATTTGTATCCTTTTATTGTAGTTGAACACCAATTAGATTGTGGAGAGTCTCAGAAACAAAACGAACAAAAAACAGTCAAGATCTATGTCTTGCTTTTAGTGGATTGTTAAGAATAACTTTGCACATATACCCCACTTTTTAGACACCATCAAATCTCCTTTTTGGTGGTCAAAGTGGCTATTTAATATATTTTAAAGGTGTCCTTTTTGGCTGTATAAATGTGTGGTTACATATTGACAGTTCACTGCCCACATTAAAGTGCATTATTGTAATTTTTGCTCAGGGTTTTTAGAAAATTAGCACAGAAAAGTAGCTTATTTTTAAAAAAAAGATGATGGAAGAGATGTTAACACTGTAATAGAAGAAAGGTGTGTTTGCCATTATATATTTAGCAAGTATGGTTATCATCTTCTAAGGATATTAAATCTTGACTTTTCCTATTTCTATTATCTTATGGGCATTTACCACTAACCAGACCAAACAACCTTGGTAAGGCTGAGATCTTTATTAATACACTTTTACAGGTAAAAAATATTGATACTTATAAATTTTGTTCTTTGACAGAACAATATATGGTACTAGAGATCTACTTTATTAAGTAGACTAATTAAAACTCAGTTCTACTATGTGCCTTATGATATACCTTGGGAGTAAGTTTGTGAAAAATCAGGATATATGTGTTGTTTGTTAAATTAACTGTTTTAAGCCCTTTTGACACCTCACTAGTTTTGTACTGTTTTACCTCTTATTTCTGAAACTCTTTTTATGGTGTATCCTGTTAGAGGGGACAAACATGTCATAGAAAGCAGTTGTGCACTCTTTCAGATATAGTTGATAAATCCAATAATCTTATATATTGAGCTTCGTGTTTATAGTACAGTAAGTGGTCTAGCAAAATTGTCCATGTTTCTTTGTTTATTGATAAATGCATTGTATAGAAACTATTTCCCCTAAATATTTATGGACCAAACAATTGTGATATATCCTATTAAATTTGTGTGAATAAACCATTTTGAATCTAAGGAGTATTATTTCCCATCAGTTTTTTATTTTTATTTTTTAATTATTATTATTATTATTATTTTGTTTTAATTTAAAGCCTACATGTTCCAGTGTGTCTCTTTGCTTTTACGGTCTCTGTGAACAATTGGTATTAAACATGGAAACACGCCCTTTTAAATATTCTAAAATATGGTTCCTTCTTAGGTTTTCAATTTCTTCATATTCAATGTGTATGCTACTGCTGGTGCAATTTAGATTTTAGCCTCTTAACCCCCCTTTTTGAACATGCAAAGTAATGCCCCACTGATTTGATATTGAAACCCTGTCGTAGACTTCTAAAAAAGCCAGAGAACTAGTAGCTAAAGTTATTGCATGACAAATATAACCTAAATAATATGATGAAATGAATCAAGATTTAATGCTAGGTATATTGAACACAAAATAGAATTGCAGACCCCGAAAAGCCAGGTTGCTCTGTAGTTTAATAAATTGTCACTATGATTTCTTTCAGGGAGAACAAATCATGGGGCATTACAGCCAAACATCCCGACGTTTGAAAATTCCCTAAAGTATTAAAAGAAGGGGAAAAGTTTGATCGGAAATCCACTGCAGTGAAGACAAAGACAATATTAGGTTATGATAATCATACATTTAAAAATCTATTGAGCCAAAAAATAAAAATAAAAGACTTGATGTCATTTCCTGAATGTTAACAAAACATATGTTATTTTATGGTGTCTAATTAACACAACTGAAGGCTTCAACAAATTGTGTGGTATTAAAAACAAACTTAGAGAAACTATGTATAAAACCAGAGCAACCTGGCAGCAATCTACCCGGCCCATATTTGAAGAAAACTTTTCTTTCAAAATATCACATTTGTCAAGCACAAGTACCTGTAAAATAAAATCTGAGTGCATTCATTCCACTTGCTTGCTAATGTGTACTAGTCATATCTGTTAAATGGATTTTTGTAAATTCAAAGAGAACTTTTCACTCATTCAAGATCATAGGAAGCAAAACCCAGTAACCTTAGTACTATTGTTTCTGAATTCTTTTTTTTTTTTAAAAAAAAAACAAGACAAATCTGCATGCACTTTTCCATCTGTCACATATAGTGTACATTTCTGTATGATGAATTTCTCTTTGATGTTTCTTGTATAATAGCTTTCATTAATAAACATTTTATTTGATGCAAACATAGTTAACTTTATGTAAACACATAGCTAATTGTTCCAACTAATTTAAACTTTTCTTTTGAAAAGAAGCAGTACAGTGCAGTTCCAATATGTTATATATATAAAATCAAAAAGAATGAGGTAGCAATACTGTTGCACAGCATAAAATTATTTCATTTGGTGTTTACTTTTTAGTTTTTTAACTTGTTGTATAAAACTGACATGTTTTTAAAAAATTCCCATCAGCATCAACAATAAAATAATCCCCAAATTCTTCATCAATATAAGATAACATAAGCAGTATGTAAAATTTTCAATGACTTTCAGAATACATGGATATGATTTGTGGTTCCCTGAGCTGTTTACATGGTCACTATGCAATGAGCAAGTACGTAACAAATAGATGCTCCTAAGATTCCCAGTCCAAATCGCAGATGATTTTTACAAGCTGACAAGCAAGTGTAAAAATAACCAATTATTAGTAATGAGGTTTTGTAACTGTTAAGCAACTATTTGCAGAAAGATTTTTTAAAATATATTCCTATTTAGCTGTATAGCCAAAGCATATGTTAAACAAATTAACATATAAAAGACTTGCCAGAAAATCTTTCATTAAGATGACATTTTTATTATATACTAATGAACCCTATGTAAACAATGTAACTTTTATGAATGATGGACATTAAATATTTCACTTACGTGTATCCGCAGCATTTTGCATGTTTTCTTAAACTCTTCCAGTTTCTGAATTCTAAAAAGAAAACCATACAGTTATTAACAACATAACACAAAGTTACGTACAGATTACTGCAGCGACCTCTGGAAACTGGTAACCAAGAGTGTTCTAACGGCTATAAAAAGGTATCATTTATTGGTGGCAATTATGGGAAGTATTGTTTAAACAACACTTTTATAGTCTGTTGTAAAGTTCTATTGAAAAATGTTAGCATGGAGGACTTAATTCAAATCAGCTTGATCAGAAATTTAAGTATATTGTGAAATTCTTAAACCAAGCCTTATGTGTATTTATTACTGCAGAAAGAAAGGAAATGTAGGAAGGTGATTATTCATATGACAGCCATAATGTGGTTTCCCCTTGTTATCCACAGGAAAATTTTACAAACATTAATTATTAAAATTGGTAAAGAAGTTGTTGATGTTTAGGGCCATGAGAAAACTTATGTACTATAATTTTCCTTTTGTAAATCACTGCATTCTTTAATAAGTTGGATTCCTTCTCCCCCAGTTTCGTACTTACAGACATATTTCTAGTCTAAATTATTGTCCATGTGCTGCTTTTTTATTCTGATTCAAATTAGAAAAAAAAAAAATAATTAAATACTCCTGGTGAAATACAAGCTCCACTGAAGTCAATGGTAAAATTGTCACTGATTGAACTGCAACCAGGACAATTTTATGTTTCCCTGTCTGATTAGTGATAGTAAGGTTTGCTTTTCTTAACAATGTTATTGTTTGGAGATGATCCTGTACGTAGTGCTCTGACTGGTGCAAGTAGCTGCATTAGCCAATCTAAGGTTTTTACAAAGTAAGAATACATGTACCTGTTTCCTGCACTAAGAGTAAATGTTGAAAAGGCAGCATTGTACAAGAAAGAAAAGTAAGGAATAATTTCAGACAAGATTTGAGAGAATGCAAGACAAACCTAGGTTTTCACTTGTCAGAAGTGAGAAATATGTTGGGGTTCTTTCTAGTGGATACATCTAGATGCAGCATTTCTTTGCACTCCTGGTCTTGAAATAGAAACCAATTTGTGCAGTCCTAGAACATCTGACTAAGAATTATTTGCCAGAGAAAAGGTTTGCAGGACCAGGTCAAATGACAGAAGGCTGACACCAAAGCGGACTGAAATTGGTGAATATTCTCTCCCTGATTCCACGGGCTTAGAGCCAGGAGCTGAATGAACATAGAGACTAAATTACGCTCTTGTCTCTAAAGAAAGCATAACCTTCAGAACGAGACAGAATGTATAGGACAGCCATGCCGCTCTGTGCTTTGGATTTCATTCTTCAGAGCTGCTAATCCAAGCACCTGGCACATGCATTAAATTGACTTCAAAATATTTCTTTCTCCTTCACCCAAATACAGGACACAAATTATACTACTGGAATTTCCAGAAGCTACTATAGTGTTGGAGACTTTATTCAGTTATTCTGCAATGTTGAACAATTCTTCTGCGCTTCTCACTTGACACAGACTCATCTCGACACATACCTAGATACATATCCTTGTCTTGCCTTCAGATAACCAGTACTTTCATATCTATTTAAGTCATTCAAACCTATAGGAAGCAACTCTCCAGGCTTACACATTTGAGCAAAATCAGTTGTCATAATTTCTGTCTTGTTGCTTCTCTGAAGGAAGACATTTTTTCCAAAGCAGTTTTTAGGTTATGATTTTGTATTTTCGTACTCTTTTTCTTTTTCATAGCTTTGGACCAAAAAACAGTAGTCCTTGAAACACCTATGTGCACAGATTATTTTGCTAGCTATTCCTGTAGTATCTAGAAAATCAAATTTACTGCAATCATTGAATTCATGGCTTGCATGTTTCTGTGAGAGTGTTCCACACTGCAAATAGTTTTAATCATAACAAATGACATTAAATGCATTCAATTCTATTTTTACTAATATGATAAATATTGGAAATGATAGCTTCTTGGCTGCACTCAGTTCTGGATCAAGTGTGCTTCTGTTTTTGGAAATGGGATTTCAAGCAACCATCCTTTGAAATTTTTGTATTTGCTACTGCTAGAAACAGAGAGCTAGACTAAAGGCCTAATTTAGCTTGACAAAAATCAGTGTTATTTTCTGGTTTGCCCTCTTTTCAAATTTGACTTAGCACAGTAAGGATAAAAATACTGACAATAATTATTTTAGTGCTAGCAAATAAAAGGTAGATATGTTTCCCTTTTGCACCTCAGTTACATGCTTTATTATAGATTTCTGAGTCTGACCAGATGCAAAGTACTTTGAATCTGTGAGACTCATGCACAGAACAAATAAATAATAAAGGAAGGAACAATCTATGGAATGGGTATCAAACTACAAATATAAGCAGTCACTGATAGAAATGTGGTAACTTATCATCCTATGAAAGCTGATTTCACCAATTTCCTTTTGGAGTCTGGACTTACCAGAGTGGAAATGACCAAGTAGCCTTCTGTGACCACATATAAGTTGATCCTATGACTGAGATGCAATAGGGAACAATCTGTAACAAGAAATTTTCAGGAATAATTATCTAAGCAAAATGACAAAATGTTACCCAACACCAGTAAAATAAAACTTGTCATCAGGAAAACGAAGAACACCAACTATATATTAATATTGTATCTTAATATGATATAGCTGCTAATTAAATTTACCAAACAAATACATATGGAGCTATGCATGTCATGTCAGCAGTGGAGGTAAGATAAGTTTAGAAAGCAACCAACTTGGCAACTCAGAGGTGAATATTTTTCATCTGCAAAGATACTCATACAATTACTGGTCAGGCTGCAGCCGCAAGTGATAGACTATACCTCACATTTTATTTTCTAGTTTTCCATTGCAGTATTATTTGACTTGATAAGAAGTAGGCTTTTGAAAAGAAAGGTAAATGGATACTGTAAAGTACATGAATGGGACTGCATGCCTTTTATGGGCCTGCTAGCATATTTGATATAAAATGCTGCACCACTGAAGCTCTGAATATCAGTCTTAAAGAAACTACTGCTTTCTTTCTGCTTTTTTATTTGAAGATGCCTCGTTTCCTGTACATGGATAAGCCTTAACTATATTAGCTGAAGTAATTTTTTACCCTATTTGGTCAAAGCTTTTCTTAATAATCAAACCCTTGGACAGATACATTTTTTGTGAATCATGCTGGAACAAATTAAGAAGTTATAAATGCTGCTGTTCTTTATGAACTATTAGAGAGAGGTTAACATCTACCCAGGAGTGCTTTCTAAGTACAGCAATAATAGAATTGTTCCAAGTGAGTAGATTTCTTCTGCTATTTAACCTGTCACAGTAACATGACACTAAACATACACAGTAATCAGAAATTAGTGTTTCTAATTTAAAACCACTGCTGTTGTTGTGGATGGACTCAATTCAACAAGCTCTCAAAATCACAACTTACTGCTAAAACAGAGGCATTAGAACACTATATAGCTTGGAGTGCTCAGATCATTTATAAATAGCATCCAGATCCTGACGTCTTTTTGTCCTATTGCATTACAAACGCAACAGTCTAAATGTAGAAGCCTCGAAAGTTTGGTTTTGTCCTTGAACCTATTTCAAAACAGAGAAAAAAAAAAAAAAAGACCTATATGGAACTCAGATTCACTTCAGAACAGTTCTAAAAATGTCCAAAGTTTTTTTTTGTTTGTTTTGATTAATTTATATATTTTGTTGTTGTTGTCTTTTGTTGTTGTATTTTAGGACAGAAAAGTAGCAGTGAAAAATGATTTTTGGAAGTAGATTCTCCAATAACTAGACTTGAGGGGCCTCTCTTTTTAGGCTCTGAAGAGTTTTGACATTAAATATTTTATTGCGAATACTTTTTACTTCAAGTAGGTCAAATCCTCCAGTTTCTATTTTTTTAAAACTTTTTTTTTTTTTTTTTTTTTTTTTTTTTTTTTTTCAATTTGAGCATTGCTGTTTCTTTTGTATAATTTTGCACAACTAAAGTCTGTGCATGATCCCACAGGCAGTCTCATCAGCACAACACATGCTTGTTAATGACAGACGCCTTACCAGGTATAAATCCCACAACTGAACATACCTTATTCCCAGCTGCTTTCCTCACACAACCTTTATTGTCGTTTTTTTTTGGTGAACTTGTCCCTTCTTTAGGATAAAACAAAAGCTTCACAGTGGCAGAAAGTAGGAAATGAAGCACTCTTGAATCATATCTCTGTCTCTTTCACCAACTCCTCTCAGAGAGGAGTGTCTGCTGCATCCCCCTTTCACTGCTGCGTTGATGGGAGATGTTGTGAGGGGTAACTATGGATTAGGCCAAATTTCATACACCAATAAAGATCAATATCTCTTCATAGACTGTACTGGGCCACTGGAACATGGGAAAAAGAAGGGTATACGTGGGCTATGTGGTGCCACGCAACTGCCAGGCCCAGGTGTCGCCATGGCCTGAGCAGGCCCAGCTGGCCCTCACCGCCCACGGCCTGGGCGCCATTTAAGCTGGGCCCTGAGGGGCTGTTGCCTCCTTAGGGCTGGGCTGTAGCTCAGTGGGTTTGTAGCCCTGTGTGCCCTGGATCTGTCCCTAGGTGTCCCTGGGGCTGCCTGGTGATGGCTGGGCAAGGTAGACTTTAGGGAAGAGCTGGAGAACTTCAGGACTTCATGCTTTGGTCAGTTCTGCCTTACTTCATAGATCCTTTGGGCATCAGGGAGCCTTTCACCTCTCCCCTCAGATCAGCATTGAAGGAGCTTGTTAAAATTGCTTCAGGAAGAAAAGCTGAGGCAGGATGCTGGCCCTTGAGGTCCTCCTTTATGCTCCAGGCTGTCCCCAGCTCTCCCCTGGGTGTCTGTGGGGCCTGGGAGCCTCTGAGGCAGGAGGGGGCGAGGCCTGGGCCCCATGTTTGCTTCTATTTCTCAAGCCTTTGTCAATAACTTCTTACTTAAAACCTCATGTCTGCCTAAGAGATACAAAACTATGACTTGGATACTAAACAATGAATGCTGAGGCACAAGACCGAAGAGATCAAGCTAGAGTTTTAGGTGTAGTCCAATGGCCATTGCTAAACAACTTCTGGGATTATGGCCAATGGAGTAAGTATTTTCCAAACAACTGAGGAAATATTTTGTAAACTGAACAATGGGGAGTTAAAGTTACTTGCCATAAGCAGCACATAGTTTTATTCTTCTCCCTGTCGTATCTCTTTCTTTTTTATTTTGGAGAAACATATTTTACACAGATTCATGGAGGAACTTGACATGTTCGGTTGCTCACCGTGTTCTCTGCTGTGCTCGTGCTTCCTCCACATAACACGGTGAGCATGTTCTCTGAGACAACAGGCACATGGCTTTCTGAATATCACTTGGGCTTTAGAAAACCCAGGCCTGAAATATGTTAATTATCTCTTTTAAAGTTCGCATGCTGCTAGTATTAACTGACAAAAGCAAGAAAACCTGGAGGTGAAGGTTTCTTTCTATTCTTAATTTTGTGATGGCGTGCTATAGTAGTTGGGTAAAGCCTTGGGTAGCTCCATGAAGCACACCACAACACTAATATACAGCAGAACCCTGATACAAAAAACAAAAATACCACTGAAGTTCCTCATTCTTCTTCCAACTTGCATCCACATGCTATAACCCTGGCCCTGGAAACATTTGTGCCTCTCTTTAACTTCCTTGTTCTGTGTGATACCACTGAAACTTATTTAAATGGAATTATTTACAGTACTGAAGTTAAGCAGAGGCATAAACTTATAAAAACAGTTTAATATATAGTTTATCAACTCTATTGCTGTCTAAAAGACTTAAAAGAGTCTCAGGTATGTTACTAGAGTACCAGTAAAATATCCCTATAGCTGCTCATTTTTGCCTTGTTTGTCAGTTGCTTAAATTCGCTTAGGAGTTAGTGTTAGAATAATTGGAAGCAGTCGTATGAATGGTCAAGAGTACAACTGGTCAAAAGGAGAAACTGTAAGTTGAATATGTTGTGAATGTCATTGCCATGTATGTGAAATGCATTCTGCACATATGTTCTTATTTTGCTGACTGGCACAGAATGAAAAGGCCTACTTCTGGTATTTCAGGTTACAGCAGATGTTATTTTTTTACCGTTCTTCCAAATTATGATACTTAATATTCAGCACAACTTTAAAGTATCTGTATATGAGACACGTAGTGATAAAGAATGCCGAGATTTGGGGGTTTATTGCCAATGTATAAATAACAAGCACTGTTTTCTTAAGTTTTTGTCTGAGCCTTGAAAGGGATGTGCAGAAGCAGCCTGAGCAGATTTTTGAATACTGTGTAAAAAGGTTGTTTCAAACTCAAGTCAGTATTTCTGTTTTTTACTCTTTATATATTTATATTTATTCTTCGTATACTTATATTTATATTCTTTATATATATATATAATAATTATTTTATTATTTATATGTCATTTCCTTGCTCACAAGCAATAGCAGCTTCATGCTCCTTCCCTTTAGGTAACTACTTTCAGGCAACCCAAGGCTGCTGAAGGGAAGCAGCATCCAACAATCTCTTCACGACTACGGTAACAGCATGTAAAGTGCTGTTCCACCCTCCTTGTGCAGTTCCACATGGTCACCTCAGTAGGATAATGGTTTGCCCAGAGCATGAATTCCCTCGTGTGGTGACTGTCAATTGACTCCAACTGTAAAATGCAGTGAGAGCAAACAGTGGTGGGAGCACATGCTGGTATCCGCATCACTGCTTCCCTGCTCAACGCTGATGCTGACATGTGTCAGAATGGCAGCTACCATCTCCTCCCTGGCTAATAGGAGAGTATGTCCTAGGGTGCTTCTTCACCTGTAGTGCTAATGGCAGTCCTGTTCAGAGAGGTTTCGTTTCAGATCCTCCAGGAAGCTTTTTTCTCCTTCCGCTGTGTAACACTGTTTGGATAACTGACCGGTTACTCACGTCAGAAGTCAGAATCCCGGTGTGGCCGCGTATGGTACATTTTCAGGTGTTCTATTTGCAATGTCACATGTAGATGAAATTCAGAATATGTGCCATTTCAGTTCTCTGCAGACTTTTTCTGACCCAAATCCAAGGTAAACTTTGATCTTCTATGATTTAATATCAAAGTCAAGCATAGCAATAGGAGACTGAACAGGTGAATATCTATGCCTTCCCCATAAGGAACTACTATCTGCTGTATGTTTGAATTCAAACAATGATATGTAATGAGCAGGAGAGTTCACAGGCTCAGCTTTGTAGAATTTAGTCTTGTCCAGTGTGCAAATTCCTTTGTGGTGAATGTCAGCTAACCGTGACCTTACACAGAACGGTGCCACTCCTGTTGTAAATCAAGTTAGGCGATGATTACACTTGAGCAACTTCCAAGACAAGCAGACCTATAGACTGCAGATCCTCATCCATGTGTGCTGGTTTTGCACTGTGTTGTTTGGAGGTAGGATCCTAGGTGAGTGTTTGCTGTTACACAGATGAAGCAAATTATTGGAATTCATTAACCCTGCTTACAGCAGTCCTTAAGTTCAGTAGGTTGTGAAAGGGAGTAAGTAGTGCAACAGGCATTAACTGGGTGTCCGTGTGTTGCCCTTAAGAACAAGGAGTGGTGGCAGTTCTTACTGATGCCAGAAGGACCCTTCCCTCGTGTAGGTGTTTCTGTGCTACTGCTACAGTACACTTGGTATCATTAATTTGACGTTACAGAAAGTGAAATCCAGTGTAAGGTGTTGGGAAAAAAGAATCCAAATTTGGTTAAATGTTTAGTATGATGGCAAAGGTACAAAATATGTTTAAAATTGGTGTATACAGCTAGGCTATTAAATGGCTTGGTCCTTGTGCACTGATACCACAGTGTTGTTCTCTAATGGGTTTACAAGACTGGAGTACTTGCTGTATAGGCTGCTGGGAATAAGGGTGGTAGTCAGGCACGCAGGCACAGCATGGGTGCTCTAGCCATCTATCTGATAGCATCTTCTTTCTTCAGAGATGTTGTGCTGCAGCTGTGAATCTTGAAACACTTTTTCTTATTTTACCTTTGCCTGTAATTGTATCACTTCAGTGAAGTTTTGCCCAAATTCACACTGGAATTGTGAACAGGATCAAAGTCTGTGGTGTAATTAAACCCATCCCACTTGCAAGAATTCAATCTCTTTTCCAAAAGCTACTTCATATCTATAAAATGAGTATGCTTGTATGTGCTATTGTCATCTGGTTCCCATTATCTAAGCTTTGAGACTTATATATGAGGAAACATTAAGTAAAACATTTTTATTAGACACTTTTAAACTACATAGGAAAATTGAGAAAGTATTCAACAAGTAGGGCAGTAGGTTAAGTGAACTAGCATTACCCAAGGCAGCATTTGCACCCTGGATCATATGGTGTGAGAATGAGGCTGCACAATTTCAGACTTACCCAGCAGTGACCGCATCCAGCTGTGTGGTAATAGGTTCAACTTTGACTTCTAAGTCAGATTCAGTCAGAGCCCAAACCTTGGGCCCTGTGGCCTTCAGTTGTTCTCTGAAGGAATTATTCCTCCAGAAGATCTTTTTGAAGACCTGGCTGATTGCACTGTCTACATGCTACTGCATGTTCTGAATTAACATAGCAGCCTCTGCATCATACATTGCATGGACTGCAAAATCCATTTTGCATCCTAGCTCTACAGTGTGGATTCTGGATCTAGTGAGTCTTAATGTTGGTTGCACTCCTGCGTAGTTGCTCTGATGTGGGTGTCTGGAGCAACCATAAAGGTGTCGTGATTCTTAAGGATGCTTCACAGTCCTATAGATGTAACAGATGCCAGTTTTTCTGTGCACCACTATGAGAATTTCCTATTTAAAATGCCAGAAAAATTTCTGAATGTAGCAAAACTACTGCAATTTTCTGTAGCCTTATTCTCAAATATTTATCTTGTAGTGGTGTCAAACAAGTTGGACTGGCCAGAGTCTGGCCAAGCTGCAGACATGTAGAAAATGGAGCATTGTGATGGGTTGAATGCAGGCAATTAGAACCATGCACCATAATTTATACTTAACTGAAAAATCACAGCTTCATGTGACGTGGTAGAGCTGTACTCGAATATCCGCAACAACGTACAAGTAAGAATTAAGGCTTTTTAAGAGCTTCTGAAGAATAGTAAAAACCTGTTTTAACAAATATGCTCGCACACTGGCAAGTAAGCTACTGCTCCCTGTGGTTTTGTACTTTATACATCCTCCACTAAAATATGGCCAAAGGCCTTTCTTAATAGAATAAATTGTGTTTGAAACTAATTGCCAGCTGATTAGTCATCTCCAGAGTTCTCCGTTCTGTCAGGGGCGGTGTGTAACTAAGTATTGGCAATGCCACATTTTCTTTGTAAAGGGTGAAGTCTTCTGTTTTCTTTTGGTGTAATTGTACGTATAAAATAGTAATAACAGAACTACCACCATGTTTAATCAGTCAGGATCGAATTAATTCTGTTTTAAAGGGTCTACTCCTGTGAAGTTCCAGATGAATTTCTGTGGGAACTGAAGCTACCCAATACTCTGTATTTTTTTCAAGATCAGGATAGAAAATGTTATTTTTTCTAATGCCTGGCCAGCACTCCATTTTCATAATAAACTTCCTTTATTTTGAAGTCTTTCTTGAGGATCAAAATAAGATGGTGTCTTCTGTTTTTAAATGAAAATTTAATAGGGAGTTTGAGCTGTTAGAGGAAAACAGAGCTTCCTTCTCCATTCGTCTTCAGGCAGCAGCATAATATTACTAATCACGGTTGCATAGGAAGGCTTTAATAGCAGTCATTCTCATAACTCAAGGAGTACATCTGAGCACACAGCCACCCTTCATTAGCACCTTTTTAATAATTTCAGTGCCTTCAGGACAGCATGTTCTGCATTGCTCCATTAGAAGTGATGGACATGTACTGAAGACAATGATCTGCAGCTTTATAAAAAATAAAAAATCAGTTCTTTTGGCTGTAAACAGGCAACTGAGCAGTGGACTTGAAGAAAAAATCTCTTATTTCTTTGTCCGTGAGAACTAAGGCCTCTCTGCCACTAGAGGGTGAGACAACTACAAACCAAGCACTGAAGTCGAAGTCGTTCCTGTAGTGGGTACAAACGTAAGTCAACGTGCAGACTACCTCAGGCGTTACCTTGGTTATTAATTTTTAGAGAGACTGATGTACACGGGACATAGCAAGTATTTTTCAGTTGGTCTCATGTGCTTCAAGACAGAGCTGCAAAGTAATGTGGGAACAATCTGTGGTAATGAGCAACAGTGGAACAAAACTCAGTGTCTAGACATTAGATTTGGGCCTTGGGAGGCAGAGTTACAAATATAAATTCTGATCTTGATTCAAGTACTGTATCACACTGCTCTGCTTCAAGAAAGCTATGTCTGGCTTAGACTGTTTCTCCCTTGTAGTCAAAATTCTGAAAAACAGATCTCTACCTGCTTCCCTTTGATCTGCACCATCTATACCAAAGGTGTTCTTAGTTGTTTTCTTGTGGTTTGGCTTTGTAGCATTTTTTTTTTTTTTTTTGTATTCCTACAAAATGGTGTGAGGTTGCCCTGGTGTACCTTTCAAAGCCTTGAATAAACCCTGTTTTGTGCAGTTTACTATGGCCATGTTTTGTTCCTGGCAAAAGCATTAACGCTAGTAACATGTGCAATGTTTCTTGACAAAACATTTTACAAATAAGCTGTTTTGATGCTTGCAGAGTCTTTCAGGGAAGTCTTTAGAGAGAAGGATCTTCTAGCTAACAAAAAGTATGCCATCCACTTTCAACTGATAGTAGGTACTCTTAAATCAGAGATTATACAAATCAATATGCTGTTTCTTCAGGAACAGTACTTCCTGATTTAAACGAAAATGAAGTCCCACAGGGCAGGGCAACATCAAGTAATTTTTTTGTTCTTATGAATGTCTCTGAATAATTCCTTCTTCAAATATTTTGACAGTGCGTGCTGCCTTGTTACTGTGTTGTTGCTTCAGCAATCCAAAGGTCCAAATTCAACTTCCTCTTTTTCCTGAAGAAAGACCGTAGGAGTTTTACAAGCTCAATATGAAAGAGCATGTGTGGGGTCAGGAGAAACAAAACTAAGTGCCATTTTAAGCAGTAATAAAAAGAGGCAAAATCAGAGAACAGGATTGTAGGCAGTTCTGAACTATTGCCTGGGAGACTTCAGGAGTTCATCTTATGTTAAATGAAAGACAGTTGTGGCAAGAATTACAGTGATGTCTTGGGATCCTAGTTCTAATCAGAAAGGGCAGCTTCCATTTTGTTTAGGCAATTTAAAATCCGTGCTACAGATGGATCAGAAATTTGTTGGGAACTTTTTGCATTTATCAACAGTGTTTAAATTTAAGGGAAATCAACAGGCAAGTTTGTGAAGTTGTGTTGGATTTTGCATTTTCTGGCCTGAGAACTTATCATGCCCAGGCTTAGCTGACTGCCCGAATTTTATTGGCTGCATTTTAAGGCATAAAACCAGCACTTACTGCAACTTCTCGATAGGGGAAAACAGGGGTTAAGATTATATTATGCTAAATGGAAACTCACTGTGCTGTTTATATATTGGGTTGCTTATGGTTCTTGCACAATGCTTGCACTATTTCAGAAGCTATGTTTTTCCATTTTTTAAAAGTTATTACAGCAATGAATGTTTGCTATTCTTTTTTTTAAATTATTATTTTATTTTAACTAAGAAGAAACAAATGATGACATTCCCTTGTGCTGACATTAAAAATCCCTGGCTCTTTTCTATGGGCTCTTTTCTGTTAGTGTCCTAAATACCATAGAAGTAATAGAGCGTTTACAGTTGCAGGCAATGACTGTTTTCTTCATTTCAGAAGATACTCTGAACTCTACCAAATAATGTTAACTCTCAAATCTATCCAAAAGCTTTATTGGAGGTACAAATGAAATCATAAGGAACAATCAACTAAAATACTGTTATGCTACTCTGGATATCACAGAGTGGGAAGTCTAAAAGAGTTTATTACAACGCTGTCATATGTAACAGTTCCTTATTCTACCTAGTCTTTAGCATCTCAGTGATATCTACAGGATTTGTAGCTATCTAAATATGCTGCAAGGATATATTCTGAACCTTTTTTTTTTTTTTTTCCTGGACAGTGGAGTAAAGCTGTCACAGCTTGGAAAACTGCAAATGTGTCCTGCTTTTATCTCAGCCCGTCACAGCAACAGTACTAGATGCTAGCTGCCTACTGGTTTCCAAGGCTCAGAGCCAGACCTGATGCCAAATTAAATGACTGAAAAACTTAACATCAAATTCAATCACACTCTCAATCAGTTTTAAATTGCTGTTAGCAGAAAGGCCTTTGCAGCTGAGATGCAAGAGCTGTGACTTGATTTTAGAGAAAAACCTGAGGTTAAAAAGCCTAGTTTTGGTCCCAGTTTCTAAGGCATTGATTTTCTTTCTCAAGAATGAAAATATCTGAGGCAGAAAAGCATTGTTTTTTTTTGTATGACACCTGAAAATGGTGTTAGGAGAGGACCAGTGGTGTTTAACTTGATTAACAGAAAAGCAATAAAAAAAAAAATCCTAAGAGGAGAAGGACCCATGAGAGAGAATAGTGCTCAGGCATGACTTGTTCTCTTCTCATAATCTCATTTTGCTATTTGTGCTCCACTGTGTCCCTGTGCTTACTTGCACCCTAGCAGAGTTATGGTGCTGTAGCAGAGCTCTGCTCATGCGGGGTAACTGATGGAGGGGCTTGGGGGCTCCAGTAGAGGAAATGACTCCCAAAAAGCCGGGCCTGACTATGAACGTGTCTCTTCACCAGGGCATGCCTGATGCAACTGTAAGCTGCTGCAACTTTTCAAGAATTCTTCGAACTAGTAAGTAAACTTATGCTGTTTATTTGCTTTCTGGTAGCACAATTGTGGTCTATCTGGGAGAGAAAACAGTTAATTACCCTTTTCTCTTCACCCAGTGTTCCCTATTGTACATAGCAGTTACTCAGGTTGTCCTGGAAAAAAAGGGCTGCTGCTTTAGTGCCACTGCGCCGGGGTTTAGGGAACTTTTCTTACCGTGTTTGGGCTCCTTCTCTTCTCTCTGTATGGCTTGACCACCAGCTTTGGCTGATATGACATTCTTCCCCACAAAAATGTGAATGGCAGGTAGCAGCACAGTGGTTTTCTATTGCTTGTTTCAAATGTGGCTGTCAGATAAAAGCTGAAAATGCTATTCTGCAAACAGCACCTCCAGACAGGCTGTTACAGGACTTAGCAAGCAGCCAGAAAAACCCTACCATCCATCTAAGACCTTGAAAACAAGGATAACTTTATGTTACTTCCATGTTCTAGAGTATGACAGTATTTTTTTAGGCTAGAAAAACTTTGCGATAAGCATTTGAATTACTCATTCTAACAGTTTTCAACTTTCAGCGTAAATTATTTGTTTTAAAGGTTGAACATGTCATGCTAACAGCATCTAACCAGCAGCTACGAAGTGTATGAGGGATTAGAGGTGATGGTCTCAGAAAGCAAAAGATAATGACTGGGACAGCAGGGTTCAAACAGTAAAAAACAACGAAACCAACAAGATGGGGAGAACCCCGGAAATTCAGTTTTGAGTTTATGACATGATCCAAAAATAGAGGGTAATATCAGATCATGCCTGTCACAAATTGTCTGAAAATGTGTTTTAGTCACGTTGTTTCTGGCACTTGAATAAATCGAATAGATGGTAAGACAATGGGCCAAATTCTCACTGTGGTTATACATGATGAACTGGTAATAGGTACTTGAAAATCTGTTCCTACTCATTTGTTTTTTGTGGCATGCCACTAAAACCCATCAGACTAATTTTTTCCACTTTGATTCTATCTTATTCCAGCCAGATCTAGGCAGAAGAAGGTTTAAATAAGATCATGTAGCGGGGGAAGGTTTGTGGAGGGAAACCCTCCCACTATGAATCTGCCACCCTCCTGCTTTTTTAAAAATTCAGGAGTATTGCCTTTTCCACAAATCAGCCAACTATTGAGTATGACACTCCAAGACAAACACACTCGATGCTCAAAATATGTTTCTCATACACCAAGGCAAATCATAATTGGTTAGAAAGTGAACTTTCTGAAATACAGATGTACAAATAAAGGCCTGGTTTTATAGTGCACTATATGTTGGAGAACCATCTACTGTGCAAGCTGAACTCAAAGTTGAAAAATGTCACCATTGCAGACTGGAAAGTTTTATTTCTGCTTTTTGCTCACTTTGGGGAGGGAAAGCTAAAATTCTCTTCATTACAGGACATTGCAGTGTGGGTAAAAGGTTTATTCTTACAATCAATACTAAAAGAACGAGTCCTGCTGGCTCTGACACATTTCATCTCTGAGGTCTGTTCTTAGGACGTATCTGCATCAAGGTTGTTGAAATTCATAACAGCACACAACATCACAATGTGAACGTAAGGAAAATGAGATAATACACTAAGCATTGTGTAACCTGTTGTATACCTTTGAATCAAATGGCTATTTAAGGATTTTAAAGCTTTTTGCAGAAAACAGGCCACATATAATTAGGATGTTATGGCTGAAATTTTGTTTATTAATGAGATAGTGCTGGTGGGTTTGTATGTCCTCTACTCAGCTTGCATATGATGAATATAAAATATTAAAGTCTGGAGTATATAAAGAGGCTGTAAATACCAGATACGTAGGTATATAGAAACATTGAGGACGTGGGTTAGAATAAGCCCCCATCTGCTGGTTGGAGAGGTAATAATCCCTAAAAGCAGTTCAGTGCTTCCATACCCCGATCTCTCCAAAGGTGCTCCTTAACAGGCAGTTTGAGTTGGCGGTTAATTTAACATGAGGAACAGAACGAGTGAGTCCTGTTATCCTGTGAGTTTGTCTCGTAACAGGCAATGTTCCAAACTCCTGTAACACTTTGCTCTGTGGATTGTGCTGGTTTCTAATCACAGCTGATGTGCTGTGGCTGCATTTCCATGAGAGGGGCATCTACTCATCAACCTGTTTTTACAGTGTTTACATCTTAGTGACAAGACTAAAGACTCCACTTCTCTTCTGGGCAATGGTTGCAGAAGTTACTAGGAGAAAGCAAGCAGACAGCATAAATCTTACTTTTTTAGCCAACTTGACCCAGACATTAAAATTCTATTAATCCTTTGTGAATCCAAATGGGTTTTGTGAGAAGAAACAGGCTATTTAAAACAGACTATACATGAGGGTAGTCCCTCTTAGCACTTTCTTCACTGAGTGGCTAGCCTGTTACTGTGGTTATTAACTAATACTATTCAGTAAACACTCCAAGCACTTCAGGGATAACAAAAGATGCAGTCCCAGCACCTAGGACTACACATGTACGGGTAGGTACAAGACTTGGGCACACAGTGACTGTGAGTAGCCAGGTGGGAGTGGAGGGCTGCATCTGACTCCAGCTGTTTGACAAGAAATGGGATGAGATTTCCTCAGATTTAGCTTTGGAGTTTCCAAACAGCTAAGGCCAACTCTTGCTTATGATGATAGCATAATCTGTTTTTTGTTTTTTTTTTTTTTTTAAATCAAAATCAATGAGCTGCCAGGCAGAGAAGGACCTGGGAGTGATGGTGGACAGTCGGCTGAATATGAGCCAGCAGTGTGCTCAGGTGGCCAAGAAGGCCAACGGCATCCTGGCTTGTATCAGAAACACTGTGACCAGCAGGGCTAGGGAGGTGATCGTCCCCCTGTACTCGGCTCTGGTGAGGCCGCACCTCGAGTACTGTGTTCAGTTTTGGGCCCCTCGCTACAAGAAGGACATCGAGGTGCTTGAGCGGGTCCAAAGAAGGGCGACGAAGCTGGTGAGGGGCCTGGAGAGCAAGTCCTACGAGGAGCGGCTGAAGGAGCTGGGCTTGTTCAGCCTGGAGAAGAGGAGGCTCAGGGGTGACCTTATTGCTCTGTATAAGTACATTAAAGGAGGCTGTAGCGAGGTGGGGGTTGGCCTGTTCTCCCATGTGCCTGGTGACAGGACAAGGGGGAATGGGCTAAAGTTACGCCAGGGGAGTTTTAGGTTAGATGTTAGGAAGAATTTCTTTACTGAAAGGGTTGTTAGGCACTGGAACGGGCTGCCCAGGGAGGTGGTGGAGTCACCATCCCTGGAAGTCTTCAAAAGACGTTTAGATGTAGAGCTTAGGGATATGGTTTAGTGGGGACTGTTAGTGTTAGGTTAGAGGTTGGACTCGATGATCTTGAGGTCTCTTCCAACCTAGAGATTCTGTGATTCTGTAATGACTTGCACATCTCCAGTGCAGGAGAGGTAGCAAAGCCTGTAACAGCTAGGGGCAGAGGGGAGGGAAGGAAAAAGGGGCAGCAGAATGCTGCTATCTCTGGCATTACAAATGAAAATTTGAGGGAAATGAGCAAAAACCTGAACGTGCTATCCAAGTCTCTATCACTGGGGATGCAAAAGGGGTTGTTTGATCAGGTTCTCTCCAGACTTGCTCTGGCATTAATGTTGCTTGATAAAGTAATGTGAAACTCAATTGCTCATTTAAATGAGAAGCCTATTTCAGTGTGTTGAGAAAGTAAGATTTTTTTTTTTTAGATTGAAGTGTTCTGTGCAAGTCTTAGCAAATTTCAGCTGTGTAAAATTATAAGTGATTTTTCTACAAGTGTTCTAAACTTCCAGGCAAATATCTTTTTTAAGAAGCTTGAACATATTCTGCATATATATTGATTCAGTGCACAGAGCTACTTACGTGCAGATGAACTACAAAGCATGGTGTTAAATCTCACACTCTAGGCAGCATAATAAATAAAAGCTACTGGCACATCATGAGATCTGGGACCAGTACATTGTTTTCCATAACTACTAACAATTGGGAAAACTTGAAGATAAAATAGTAACTCAGTTAGTGGACTTCATTTTTATCTGATTCATCCCATTTGGTAACTCTTCTACCAAATATGGGCATATCTAAGTTTTCAGTTCTAGAAATGTGAACTGAGACAAAATTGTCATTTAAGTAGTATTATGTGTTTTCAAGGAGTTGACATGTTAATTAATGGTGATGAAAATTGCAAGTGCTCTTTTTTAAGAGAACAGTTTCATAATGGAAGTGAAGGTGAGATTTTTTGAGAGAGGCTTGGTTGGAGAAGGGAAAGTACTGCAGAGATGTTAGTGGGCTTCCTTTGCATAGAGCCTTTCAAATGAATGAAGAAGCACAAGAGATTTATGATAAAAATTTCTCATAATAATAGTGTTAGTGGCAGTTTTCTGCTGTGAAAAGTGAAAGTAAGTGAGGCATGGTAGATCTTAAAATGAGTGGAGGCAGCAACAAGAAATGGTTAATTTAAAAAGGTAAGAAAAGCAAACGGATGCAGCATAAAAATATATAAACTGTAACAGAAATATTGAAGCAGTTCTAGAGGACCTGCTATTTAATAACTGGAGATAAGTCTGGTTAGGACTGCTTTCCTGTGCTAGGTGTCCTGGAATTGTTTTTTCAGAGGTGTGGACAGAGGTCATGGGAGTCATAACTGAATAGAACAAAATGGGAAGGAATAGTAGTAGAGCAATCACCACTTTTAACTGCTGCAAAGTGTGCCCTGAATCTGTCAGCAGGATTTCAGTTTTTGTTTTTCAGAAGAAAAAGTATAGCAAAACATATCAAACCTAACACTTTTTGTCTGGGCTCCCATCATTCACTAGAGGAAATGACAAACTCATTTTAAGTGATTTTTATGGCTGTCCCTTCCCCCTTTCCACGCGATTCTGTTTTATGCATTAATTGCAATTCTCAGGTTTTGTTCCAAGCTTATTAAAAAGGATTATCACCTTTTCATTCCAATATTCTCTTAGTTGCCTATAGTTATCACTACCTCTTTTATAACGGTTGA